TCTCTCTCTCTCTCTCTCTGTCGAGAGAGACACTATATTACCAAAGGTATTGGGACGCCTGCCTTTACACGCACATGAACCTTATTGGCATCCCAGTCTTAGTCCATAAGGTTCAATATTGAGTCAGTCCACCCTTTGCAGCTATACCTGCTTCAACTCTTCTGGGAAGGCTGTCCACAAGGTTTAGGAGTGTGTCTATGGGAATGTTTGACCATTCTTCTGGAAGAGCATTTGTGAGGTCAGGTACTGATGTTGGATGAGAAGGCCTGGCTCGCAGTCTCTGCTCTAATTCATCCCAAAGGGATTCTATCGGGTTGAGGTCAGAACTCTGTGCAGGCCAGTCAAGTTCCTTGGTATGCTGATGCCTTAAGAGTTCCCTTCACTGGAACTAAGGGGACAAGCTCAACCTCTGAAAAACAACTCCACACCATTATCCCCCCCTCCACCAAACTTTACACTTGGCACAATGCAGTCAGGCAAGTACCATTCTCCTGGCAACTGCCAAACCCAGACACATCCATCGGATTGCCAGGCAGAGAAGCGTGATTCGTCACTCCAGAGAACACGTCTCCACTTCTCTAGAGTCCAGTGGTGGTGTGCTTAATAACACTGCATCCAATGCTTTGCATTGCACTTGGTGATGCAGGGCTTGGATGCAGCTGCTCGGCCATGGAAACCCATTCCATAAAGCTCTCTACACACTGTTGTTGTGCCAATCTGAAGGCCACACGAAGATTGGAGGTCTGTAGCTATTGACTCTGCAGGCAGTTTGGCGACTTGTGCGCACTGTGCATTTTAGCATGTGCTGACCCTGCTCTGTCATTTTACGTGGCCTACCACTTCGTTGCTGAGTTGCTGTTGTTCCCAGTTGCTTCCACTTTGTTATAATACCATTAACAGGTGACATATGACACGTGAAATATTTAGTCGCAAGTAAATTTCACGGAACTCCTGAATCCAATGATTTAGAGGGGTGTCCCAATACTTTTGGTAATATAGTGTATATATACACACACACAAAGGTACTGCTTACTCCTTGTGATGATTATGACCAAGCCGACTGGCTCTGATCAGTCACAGTGCCACATCTGGGTCAGCAGCACCCCATCTACAGTCAAAGACAATCTGTCTTTCCTGTTGCGGTATCCCTGATTCCTCTCTCTCCTCTGTGCAGGAGGTTGTGGCTGTTCCTGGGCTATAGGCTGAGAAGTGTCTTTGGTGACCAGTGGGACTAAGGATGTCAGCAAAATTGGGTCTACTGGCCCCTCCAGGGAGACATGCAGTATGTGAAGGCTAAAGAGAAAAAAAATTCCTTGACATACTGTGTAGCAAAGATAAACAATGATAGACCCCAAAACCAGGCTCTCATTCACTGAATACTTGACTAAACCAGAACAAATTGTATATGCTGTATATAAATCAGATGTATATATTCATAGGTCGATGCCTTGATCTGTTTGATTGCTTTTTGCATTCAAAAGTTAGTTGCTATAGGTTACAGAGTGACAGTGTGCTATCTAGGATTAAATAGTATGTGTCAGCAAGCTAAATACCAACATAAGCCCATTTATGGAAGTTGCTGCCAGTTACAAGATATGTGCTTGTATATGTCCAGTTTGCAAGATGTGTGCTTGTATTGGGGAGTCATTGGTACCTAAAGTTAGAAATCCTTTTGAAAATAACAATACATAAATAAATAAATAACCCTTTAAAAGAATAAATAACAAAACCAGCTTTTGCTACAATATTTACTGTCAATACAGAGGTTCCCCCATAGTATTTTTTTCTGCCGCTAGATTTTCTAATTATTTTTTTTAGCATGTTAGTTTTTATTGTGGAAAAGAGCAATACAGATATGAACAAATATTGACATGCATTGTACTTGTATATCAGGTAGTAGTATGCAGACTGCAATCTAGACATGCAATGTGGGATATGTCCCAGTAACAAAAGTGACAAACTAGATCACAATAGTGAACAAATATGTTGGTAATAATACAGTAAGTGCTTGAAGAACAGGTAACAATAAACAGTCACCCTATAGCCATGAGGGTCGTTTTCGTGGGGAGAAGACCAGTATGTGACATTAGAGGTCAAGGTAAACGTGGGTCTATCAATAGGACCAGACAAACTTCAGTGAGGTGGGAACCTTAGTAAAAGGGTAAGCTCACGATATCTCTAGTCAAAGGACATCTAGGGGTCCTAGAGACACTGTCAGTTTGGCTTCAATGTACCATTTAGATAGCTGAAAATGGACATCAGATCTTGCAGCTGTTGTAGTGAAAACTCTGCTGCGACAAAAGACGTCCAAGTATCAAAGAATTGTTTCGTGCGTAGTTGATTAAATTTCGTGTCTAATTTGTCTAGTAGTAACAGGCGGTGTAGCAGGGGACGGAATGAAGCCATAGTTGGGGGATCATGTAAGATCCAGTTGCACAGGATTGCCTTTTTAGCTGTCAGGAGACACAGGTGTTCCCAGCGGGTTAGGTGAGAGGGAGCTCCGTCCGTGGGCAGGGGAAGGACGTGCAGTAGGCAGAAGGCTGGGGACAGTGATCTTGTCTTACGGGAGTGGGTATTTGTGAAGGAAAAGATTTGTATGTGAGGGCAAGACCAGAATAAATGTGAAAGGTCAGGCAATGGGAGGAGGCACTTTGGACAGGCGGTCTACCATATGTAGGGAGTACTCTTACTGGGAATATTAAAGGCGTGATAAGCTCTATGAACTAGCTTAAAGTATATCTCACGCCCCAATTCATTAATGATAGCCTTCCTTATCTGTTGCCATCCTTGTGTCACTATCGCAAGTGTGTCTTCTGGGGTCATATTCAGATACTCCGCCCAGCGTTGAATATGGGACGGAACCGAGGTGGAGGATTCCAATATAAAGGATGTTACTGACCGGGCGATATGGGATAGGGGCATCCTAACCTGGGGGGAGGATAGTAAGGGAGCGATAGGTGATTGAACTATCTCTTGCCATGGCAGAGTCAGATGACCTGAAATGAAGTGGCGTAATTGTAGGTATAGGTAACTATGGGTGGCTGGAAGACAATGCTGGGTTTGGAGTTCCTGAAAGGTCTTGAGGTAACCTTGGGGATTGAAGACATCCGCAAGCACCACAATCCCCTTGTCCGCCCATATGCGGAAGGCATTGGAGTCGGCACCTGGTGCAAATCCCGGGGAGGATCTGAGGGGCATCAACGGGGAGATCACTGCGGGCTGGCGGTAGATTTTCCTGATCTCTCTCCATGCTATCACAGTGTCCCTGAGGAGAATGTTATCCCTAATTTGTTTGGGGAGGAGCCGTAGCGGGGTGTTTAGGATGCCAGAGGGCAACCAAGGTTTCATCAAGTGGCTCTCTAAGGGGGTATTGGTAAAAAACACGGTACCATGTATCCAGTCCCGTATGTGATGGAATAGACTGGCTAGATTATATGCCCTAATATTCGGGAGATTTGCGCCCATGTTCCCTACAGGTTGTTGGAGTTTTCTGAAAGCTATTCTTGCCCTTTTCCCCCTCCAGAGAAACGATGTGAAGGCGCTTTGAAGAGTCTGAATGTCTTTCTGCTTCAAGAGAAGGGGTATAGTCTCAAGAGGGTACAGTAATCTGGCAAAGCTGACCATTTTTATAAGGTGGCATCTGCCTAGGAGGGAGACAGGATAGTCTTTC